TTCTCCAAAACATTTTTAGAGCATTTAGATATGAATAAAACCACAGTGTGGCTAACTATGAACGGTGAAGTGTACATAACCTGCAAATCTGATATTTTGATCTCTGCTGAAGGCAAAATGTTTTGGTTTCTGTCAATATATATGTATATTTCATAAAGAACTGCTGGAATGAGGACAGCACAGATAATTTGAAACCCATTTTTTAAAACAGTTTCTTACAAATAACTAAAACAAAGCCAATCCCTGTAATACAAAATTCAAGCTGGCTATAGTAAAACAAAATCAATAACCTTTTAATACTGTATGGTGATCTAATACCTTTAATTCTTACGCAAATATCTGATTCTCATATGAATATCCATAATCTTAGAAAGACCTTGCAAATAGAAAATACCCAAGGGTATGTATGTCAAGTTTTTTAAGAATCTGAATAGGCTAATTGAATGCTTTTCAGTTCTATTAAGCTAAAAAATTCTGTGTTAATTCATGTGATTCTATGCAGACTAATCTTTATATTAAATAAAATTGAGCTGTTTACATTACAGTAGAATTTTTTTACGCTATAGCTGGCATTCCAGAAATGTGTTATGAGATACATAAATAAAAAAAAATTGCATATCTTGAAAATAAGCCTATTAAAAAACTCCAAATAGGAAGAAGTTCTACTATTGACACTGGTGGAAGGAAACACAGGGCCTAAGACAAGTGATCAGTTATGATAGACGGGTAGGTGATGAAATCATTTTTTACTCAAGTTAATCAAGTTTATACCTTGAATTTTTAGATACTTTTTTACCCAAATAGCAAGAGTTGTTATTCCAGAATAGAGATGTTTGGTTATTGAAATAAGCCATATACATGAACTTGAAGCTTCTGAATTTCTTATTTCTATCTCCAACTTCTGTTAATTCTTCTTTCCTAAGATTATTTCTCCAGTAGTTTTAACCACGTAGCAGTATTCGTTCAATTATAAGTTTTGTTTCTAACCTTGCAGATTTTGTCACCAGTGTGCTTTTCATTATAAAGGTAGAGAAGTGTTCAAAATAAGTGGTGTCATAACTGGATGAAGGCAGGTCGATTTTGGGGAAAACAAGGGAGAAAAAAAAAAAGAAAGAGTTCTTATGTTGAGGGATTTCCATCTCTCCATTGAGAGATTTCCAACTTGTCCAGTAAGGTAGTTTATGTAGGATGCTGATTGGATTACTGCTTGCTGAGTGGAATAGGTAAAATGTTGATCTCCAGCAAGTTTAATTTAGATCTATGGAAAGATTGGCATTGTAACAGACTGGTGTGATTCACAGGGATTGTGCCACTGTGTTAAGGATATCACTTGGCAATTAGAGGGAAGTAAAGAAGAAGACAAGAAACAAACAGTTCCAAAAAATCTCTTTCCATGTAGTAACACTAAAGTAACACTCCACTCTTAGATATAATCCGCAAAGAGGAAATAAAAAATACCTATGATTCTATTGACCTCTGTCTAGTAAAAATACTTCTCTCTTCCCAGATTTGTAAACAAAACAGAACAATTGTCCAAGGGTTGATATCATTAAAGCTTCCTGCTCAGAGCAATGAAGGCTCTGACATTATCGGAAGCAATAAATGCTATTACATACTATAAGTCAAACTGTTATTTGTACACTGATCATCATTAGAAAGAAAACTAGTGACTGGGGATGTCACATTACATTTGTATTACTAACAATATCTGGTTGACCATTGTATCCTGAGAATAAGACGCTGAAAACAATGAGTTAATGACCTACTCTTGAAAAAACTATGCAGGAATGATAAAAAAATGGAGGTGGGGAGCAAAAGTCAGGCTTAATACAGAAAGGATGGCAAAGGTTTGAAGGAAGATGAGCATGAACAATTGTCACCATGAACTTTAATCTGTTTGTGATGGAAACTGTTGTGACACTAGCAAAAATGCAGCAACTGTCAATATGAGATTTAGAAGAGGAAGGTTACTAGTTTAAAATAATACTAATATTATTTTCTTAAATTCTCATACCTACAAACTCTTCAAATTTGTCCACAAGATTTTTCCAGCACTCAGGCACTGAAAGGCTTTTATCGAATAGGTCTGCCCAAGATTTCATTCAAAGATAGCGAGATGCTGAACAAAGAACATCAGCAAGCAAGACCACCTCCTAGCTGACTAGCCTCTTGGGTGGTTGTTTTTTTTTTATTATTGGCTAGAGGGTTTGCTTTAGAGCTTTTTTCTACTCCCTTTGGGGCTGATGGTGATTACAGCCTTTCATCTCCATCTGTTTCCACCACTGATAATTTGGATTTACTCACTGAGTTTTTTCTTGTCTGAATGTTTCAGGGTACCAAAACTGTGCTCTCTGTCTTTTTGCCAGAATTTCTTCATCCCTTATGTCTTTGGTTTAGTGTGAGTATAGGCTGTCTTCTCTGTTCTCCTAACCTAGTTCTCCTGAAAAATCTCAAAGGATATGCTATAACCCTCATGACACATTGTTCTCACAACCATTCTTTCAATTTCTCCAGGATTTTCATACCTGGCCATTCTTCATTCTTTCTTCATACCAGTTTTACCATTTCTGTTATGCTTTTACACACGTGTAAAGAACTTGTAACTATGTAGCAGAGAAGATGGATCCCAAGTGCTTCATTCCAAAGACACTTGACAACATATTTAACCATTTTGTTCTAAGTGTAGATTTGCCTTTCACCTCAGATTGAATTGTGATCCAGTTTAAAGCAGAATAGACCTCAAGCAAAAACACTTTTTTTTTTTTTTTTTTACATTTTGAGGGTCTTAGCTTGTATCAAGACCATATTTTTTTTCAAAGCTTCTTTGGGAATTTGTTTTTAACATCTATTTTCTCTGTGTTCTCTGACTTGGAAAGCAGTATTTTTACATGAATGTAAAATGTACACTTACTGCAATATTAGTATATTCTCCAAAGGGTTTAAGGTTAAGAGATTCAAGTAAAGCCCCCAAACTCTATGCTTCCTTACCTAAGTGTAACTGGTATATCTCCCCCAAATACTGACGATGGTCTGTTTGGATCCATTACATACTTCCTGCTTGATATAGGGTTTTTTTCTGCTGTCTCTCTGTCATTCCTGTTTAGAATCTGGGTCTAAGAATTAATTTTTTTTTTTTTTTTTGTAACAATCTACTCACTTAACAATTCAGTCTTTCTGAAAATGTGTTTTAGCTTCAGCATCTGAGTCCTTATCTGAATGATCTTTGTAGATCTGCTGGATGGCCAGTCTTATTATAGCTAAGACACATGAAGTCTGTTGACTGTTTCTGCATCACAAGATTTTGTAAAGAGACTGAACAACTCTTTATTTTTTTTTCACAGAAGTTGTTTGAAACTTCAAATTTGCAATTTTGCAATATTATGGTAAGAATTTAGTCAACTTAAGTAAAATTCCAAGTTTGTGATATCATCTTGTGTATGCAAAGTGAGGTAGCAAATAACTACAAGGGTAAAAAATCATGCTAATCTTTTAATGTGCAAAAAGATAGAATGATAAAGTATGTATGCATACAAATTCAGCATACTTCTCTCTAAGTCTGGAAAACTTAACTTCAAAATAGATCTGAAACTTTATATTTGCTACAAGATTTCTTTTGCTTAAAATACTAATTGGACAGCTACTGAATTTTCATGAAAATAGATTATGCAGCAGATTTTGCAGTGATTTGAGTTTTAATACAATGACTGAAATTGTGGACATAGCATGAAGAAATGTTGGGAAAAAGCTATGATTATTCCAAAAAAGAAACATAGACAAATTTGAAATGGAGCTATTGAAATAAATTTTATTTAGGAAAATTCTTTCATTTATACATATGTTTTAAAATATATTGGTGAGCACATACAGCCTTATTACTGTGAATAGTGTGAGAAAAGAGGCTTATTGTAGACATCTGACGTTTAGAGGAAATAGTGTTGATATGTTCTCAAAATATTAAAAAACATTCAAAGTACCAACATAGTAGTACATAACTCTCCAGCCCATTATCTGAGGTTAATGGATTTATAGAAATTGTGTCACTTTCTGTATAGCTGAATGAATCTGATCTTTCCACTATCATCCAATAGAGTTTGGGTATTATTTTTCAATTTATATCTTTTGAGAGTTTTAAGGGAGACAAAGGAGTTGCTAATTCACCAGACAAAAAGGCAATCAGACATGGACCTGTTGGAGAGGATCCAGATGAGGGCCACAGAAATGATTAGAGGGTTGGAACACATCTCCTATGAAGAAAGGCTGAAAGAACTGGGGTTGCTCACTCTGGAGAAGACTCTGTGGAGACCTTATTGTGGCCTTTCAGTTCTTAAAAGGAGCCTATAAGAACGATAGGAGAGGCTTTTTAACTGCTGCAATAGGACTATAGGTAATGGTTTTGAACTAAAACAAAGGAGATTCAGGCTGAATGTGAAGAAAAATTCTTCACAATGAGGGTGAAATACTGGAACAGGCTGCCCACAGAGACAGTGGATGTAGAATCCCTTGAGACACTCAAGGTCAGGCTGCTGTGGTTCTGGGGAACCTGATCTAGTTGAAGATGTCCCTGCTCTTTGCAGGACTAGATGACTTCTGAAAGTCCCTTCCAACCCAAACTATTATATGATTCTATGATTAATGTGAGCCACCAAATACTATGGTGATGAGCTATAGTGCTATACAGGTATATTTCTAATAACAAATTATTTTTAAGCTCCTCTACCTCCCCAAAGGAAAAAATGTCTTTTTAAAATTTCCACTTTTGGCAAACTCTTCAGTATCTTTTTGCTCATATATAGTTAAGTCATGATCTCAGTTGCAAGAATTCCTGTCCAGAGCAATTGTAAGAAAGTGAACTGTTTATTGTATGCTTCTCTAGCTAGATTATTTTTGTGTTAAAGAAGACTACTTTTACAATTGCTCATATTTAAAGAACATTAAAAGAAGTCTTCATTCTAGTCAGGATTTGCCAAGTCCAGACACACTGATACAAAGCTAGACAAAAATGTGTTAGCATTTATAATTTATTCTCATTAAATCAGGAAGCATCAGGGTTTAATACACTTGGTGTGCAATTGAGTCCAACCAGCTGTCTGCAAAACCTCTGTTGTGTACCTGTTCAAATATGATTACTCTATCTTTATAACCCATCCATATTTTTGCTTTCTTTCTTTCTATGTCTCCACTTGCAGATATCTGAAAATATTTTATTTGACAAACTAAAATCAGGAAAATGTGCAGAAAGTATGCAAAATGAGAAAAGAAAGGGTAAAAGGGTAAAACATCGAACCTTGTAAACTATAATGCACAAAGTAATAGGGAGCGTATTGTGGTAAATATGTAGGCATAGGAAAGGCTTATGTGAGTCTTGTGTTTTCTTTATTTTCAATTACTATGAATTCACAGGCTACATTAGCTAATAAATTATCTGAATGAAATAAATAAAAATGTGGACAGAACTATATGCTAGTGGCAGAAAGTAATATGTATTTTTAACCTACTTGCATTCTTTTTATGTGTTCTTTACCAAAAAAAAAAGATATATAAATGAGGTGTTAAACACTATTTCAGAAAACCTTTGTTTAAGTTTTTGCTCGGGTAATATGCCACATTTCTTTTATTATTGATAAATTGCAATGATTGTGTTATAATTTATATATTTGCTAAGTCGAAAAGTCATTTCAGAAATTCATTTGCCTACTATTTCCCATTTGTCTTTTGATGATTTATGTACTATTTTTCATCTAACTGTAGCTGCTGAAGGATACCCACATCATATTTCAAACCAAGTAACCACAAACTGCAGAGAATTATGCTTGTTCTAAAGTGTATACAGTGAAAATAATTAAAACTGTTTACTCCTGATCTGGTTTCGTGCAATTACAATTTTTTCTCCTTGCAATAAATCTTTTCCAGCTTTAATTTTTTGCTCTATCTTTCAAAATGAATAGCCCTTCTAAAACACAAAATTCCATGCCCTCCTGTCTCATAAACCCACCTGTTTTTAATTGCAAAAGGACAGTGACAGTATGATGTTGAGTTCTGGTGTTTTATGAGAAATAATATTAACTAGGCTTTTTAAAAAATATATTTATTTTTCTGAGCAGTTTAGAATCTTTCTAACTACAATTCTCCCAGGCAGATTCTTTAACTAGATTCTAAACTGTGCTTTGAAAACCATTCCAAACAAACATAATGTCAATAAGAATGAAAAAAAATATTTTCAGACTGGAGGATCTTGGAAAAAAAAAAAAATCAAAGCATTTCATCAGGCAAGAAGGGAGCAAGCCCCTAAAACCACTAAAAATTCTAATGAAATTGATGGCGTCCTGATGATCTTATGTGTTAAAGCCATTTTGCACAGGTGCCTGGTTCCAGGGACTGTAACATGATGTGACTGGAGTCCTGGATGCATGGAAAATACCAGATCAGTCCACGAGTTTTGAAGCTGGTAGATATACACAATGCCTATCATGAAAAGTTTGGAAGTCTATCAAGAGCACCTGAAAGCCTATAAAAGCCCTCTTCCAGGATATCTTGCCAACAGATCTACAAGAATCATTCATCAGTAGCAGCAGCGCTGAATAATTTAGAATAATCAACCCCAGTCTGCCTGTTTGAACTGGAAGAGAAGAATCTTTAAGCAAAGATTACCTGGCACGGCTGGGAAGTGCCACGAAAACCCACTTGAGACATCTTAATGGAAAAATACACAGGGAGCAAAAGTCATTGTGCAGTACAAAGCTTGTATGTAAAATATAATCGAAGTCCTATAAAATGCTGTTTAATCAGACATGAAAAGAGAATTATGGGAGTCCTGATTTCTCAAGGCTGTGTTTGAAAACTCATGTACATTTCAGAACACTGTATGCTGAAAAGCCATGAGGTTTTTTAGCTTTTTGGTGTGTTTTTTTTGTTTGGTTGGGGTTTTTTTTGTTGTTGATTGGTTGTTTGGTTGTTTGGTTTGGGTTTGTTTTTTTGTTTGTTTGTTTCGAGTCCTAAACAAGGCCTAATGGCCTCCAGACACACAGGAAGCATACATATAATATCCAATTTTCTGAACACCACTTACTTTTCCCTCCTTTCTAGATACTTATATATGGGCAACTTTTCATAAGTCTATAAAGAAAGCTTGAAATAAGAGCTTCTTAGAATTCGGTAAGAACTAGAGACTAAGGACTGAAGTCTCTGTTGGTTGCCTCACCTGCTGTGACACTGAGAACTCTTTATTCTGTAATACTGCTCAAGCTGGCAGGGAAGTTACTGCTCGAAAGGACTTCACACAGCAAGAGGCACATTGAGGTTGGTGGCAAAATACCCAGGTGTGATGTGCAACAATACTAGTTCAGTCAGTGAGTTCATCTGAGGCACTGATATTGTTCCTGAAAAATAGTAGATTTGCAACTTCATGGAATAATGTCCAACAATAACAGTGATGATTTAAGCAAGATTTGCCTCTTCAAAATTTAAATGCCTATAACACAGATGTCAGAATTAGTTTCTCAGATACAGTCAGTGGAAAGAAATGACAGTTTCAGGGGAAAAAAAAAGAATAATAATGCTTTATTCTAAAACAGATAAGATGAAAATTATAATGGATTCCTATTATTAAGAATTATTCTTTGGTGTCCTCATGCTTAAATGAAAATTCTTGTTTGACAAATAATTCTGTATTTGTAGTCCACTAGGGAGTAAAATGGTACAATCCTTAGCAGGAGGTTTTTGTAAAGCTGAAAATTATATTAAGAAGTCCAGATTATTTTTTATCTTTTTTTAAATAATTATTTAACAAGCATTATTCCATAAAGTTTGAACTTCTGGTGGCATTTCCCCTAATTTGGATATTTTACTTAAAAGAAAAAATTTCATGGTTTCTTAAGACTGAATATTTATTTTCTTCTTCCAAATTATATCTGTTGATCAGTGTGGAAACACAAATTATTTTATTATCAAAATAAGAATGAACTGGAATAGATTGCTTAGAGACATTGTAGCATCCTGCTAATGGAGATTTTAAGAACAGGTGAGACACATATGCCACAAATGTTGTTGATCTAATTGACGTTTCTCTGCTGGCACAGTGATAGAACAATTTTCTGAAGCTTCTTTCTGCTTTGTTTTCCAAGATTGTGGTTTACCTAAATTACAAATAGCAAGCACGTGATATTTCATTTTGAATCAGAATAAAACAATTGTTTATGGAATTGGAATTCTGTTGTCAACACACTGTTGGGCTGATCTTCAGACTTCTGGAATACTACTTCAGTGAAGTAGGTGACTTCTTCAGTTCTGCTCTTTTTTAAAGTCAGGTTAAGTATCACAAGACCCTGGCAGCTTAGTGGCTTCAGAGGCAGTATTTTGCCATTTATCTTGCTGTCATGATTAAGACTAATGGAGAGTAATTTGTTTTTTTTTGGTGTGTGTGTACTTATAATACTAGCTTCATACTGAGGAGAGTTAGGAGTGTATTTTTACATGACTCTCACAGACATCAGAGCTGTGTGAATCATTAATTCATGTTTTATGTACAGTTACACCAGATACCACCAAGTGAAAAAGTGTGTCAAAACACATGAGATTAAAAATATGTTGTCCTTGACAAAGAGAACAATGTAGGCATAGTAACACAGTGAATCTCTTAAAAGTGATTAATTCATCTGTCTAAAGAAACATGTTTCTTCCCAGTGCATAGGTATTAGAGGGCATCCTTTCACCTGCTGTACAGGTGTTGCTATGAGTATGAATTTTTAAAATGGGGAAGGGAGAAAATCCGCTAGCATATGGAGCATTACTTCAGATGAAATGAGCTACAATACAAAACAGAAAATATGCTGTGGCTTGACCTACCATGTGTGTATTCCCTCTTGCCCACTTTTACTACTTCATGTCTAGATATGCCTTTTTAAGGGGAAGGGAAGGGAAGGAAAGGAGGCAGGGAGGGAGGAGGTGAAGGAAGGAGAGGAAGGAAGGGAGGGAGGAGAAGAGGGGAACAAGCAGGTGCTTCCTCTCTGCTCCTTGGACAAAGACCGTTTCCACAGAAAATATTTGTCCCTGCTTAGCTACCATACTTTATCCATTTTATGTTGTAGATATTCATTCTGAATTGTCATCATGCAAGAGTTGTAGGTATAAATCTACCAGTGCTAAAATGTTTGGATCATGAGCATGATTTTTTTAACTGTAAAATTAAGCAGCATCAGATACTAATCCAAGTTTTCCCTATTTAGCTCATTTATGTACATTAAAAATAGTTTAAACTCATTTATGAGCTTTCACTTTACTGAGGTTGTATGTTTTAATTATAACTTGTCATTGCCACTAATTCACTAGAGTTAAAAAATACACACATAGAAAGGCAGATTCTTTAAGCAGAGGAATTATTCTCTGATTTTATTTTTCATAGCAAGTATTATCATGTTACATGTGTCAAAGTAAGCCAAGCCATGGATAACTTATTTTAGGCAAATGACTGAACTGTGAACATCATATAAAGTTGATAATTTAACAAAAGTTATGAAGATACTTGCTGCAGTGCAGTTTGCCTTGCTCCATGGCTCTTACAGAAACTCAGCAAAAAACAGGGCTTCATGCCTTCGAATGGGAGAGTTAAACGCATTGCTTAAGAGCTATTATTTCCATCTCACTACTTATAGAAATTCCCTGCTTCTGAAGACCTTCTTACCTCCTCCACATACCCTTTGAATACTATTGAATCCTTTTGCAGCTTTCTTTGGTGACAGCTCTTGAGTAAGGGAAGAACTGCAATTAACTCTTCAGCTGAGATGACAAAACACAGCTACTCTATCATAAAATAGAAAATTAAATAAATTAAATAAAATGCATATGGCATATGTGGTTTTGGGCTGTTTTATCTCTGAAGTTCTAATTGTATGCTGCCAAGTCATAGACATCTTCACAATATGTGTAAGCTCAATTTGTCATTAGATTGAATTCCTTTCCATAATTTATGTTCTTGGTCATAGAACTGAAATGGAAAAAGTCAAGTGAGAAGTTGCACACAAGGATTTCAAAATATAGTAACTTGTCTTTTCAGACGTTCAGTGAAATACTAGGTCAAATAATTCTCATTTGTGTATATTCAGGGAAATATTTCTCATTTTTATGATGGGTGACCCTCTGTATTGTTCACCTTATCTATGCAAGAACTTTGCAGGCTAGTTTGCAAGTTAATAAAGAATTATGGAATTGGATCATAGCATTTTGAAAATCCACAGTCTTTCTTTTGCTGGACTTTATTCTGTGGTGTCTTCCTGTCTATAGTTTCAGCTATATTGATGGAAGCCAGAAAACTCAGCTACATGGTGGCTTTGCACCACACAGACTCACCTTGTAAGACACTCTCTTTCTGGCAGATTTGGAAATGGTACACTGTATTCTTAAATACAACTATTAGTGCTATTTTTCTTTTGTTAGTAGTCAGTGAGAGTTATAGAGGATAACTGCTATGCATACTTTCTTTTATCAACTGTTTCTATTTGCTAGGTTTTGTACTATATTTTGTAAGAATAGCACTGAGTAAGAACAAATTGAGTTACTACGTTTTATAAGGTTAAGGTCATGTAGTGTGGAGTGAATCAAATGTGAAATATAATGCATGCATTAATAACTAAATAAAGACTTTGACACTTGGAAATTGTCACATTGGTTTTGTTTAAAAATAAAGATATAGCTTAATATAGATTTGCACATAAATGTGTCTTAGAAGTCTGACTGAAAGTGCAGTCATTTTAATAAAAATGCTTTTAAGAAGATTATTGGATTCCATAATTGTTTTACTGTAGTGATTTTCAGTGTTAAAGTCAAAATATGTTTTTTATTCTTTTCCTCCACCTTGTTTTCCTTTCCCGTTTTTCAACTGCTACCTTTTCAAACTCTATTATCCAAATGCTGAGACACAAGACACATTAATTTTGTCCATTACATCTAAAGCTGCAGGAAGGATGACTGTGATCAGAGTGAGCAATCTTTCTGGTGGTGAAACAATATCTTGCTCTTTCTGTCATAGTTTTCTGGACTAGTGGTCACAGAATACACTCACAGACTGTAAACAGCTGCAACACAGTCTCAGCTTTACCCTGTTTCAGCTGAACTCCAGCTGTCTTCTGTATGAGCCAGGTGTACATCTGGGTTTACATCTATTAAAACATTTTAGGGTGGGGCAGTATGATATGAATTGTGACAACAGCGTCTTATCTAATTGTGACCCAAACGCTAGGGGAGAAAATTTGCTCACTGCTTTATAAATTGAGTAAGTTCTATACTAACATATAAGGTTATGTTTAAGTGGTGTACAGACCTTCTGTACTGAGGCAGGGATCTGTCATCTAAATCACTAAGCCTGTATTGGTCCTTCAGATGTTTGCAGTATTACCATTTCTTTAAAAGTGAGTTTAAACTGTGAGAGGTGCTGGCTATATTTTTTATTTATCTCACTATATCATCACAGCATCCTCATCAAAGTAATCATGATTTTTCTTCAGCAGGAAACCTCAGCAATTTTGAAAATTTGTTTTTATTTTTGAGGAGTTTGTAAAATTAATTTTATTGGTAGAAAACCTGGAAAGCATAATAGTTTCAGGATTTCAGTGTTTTTTTTCCTAAGATTGCTTACACTCTCATTATGGTAAACTTAAGTGATACATCGACATAAAAATAATTCCTGTTGATGTGAGAATATATTGCTTACATTAAAACATGGACCCAGTATTTCTGCCTAAAGCCATGGCCTCTCTAGATGTTTGCTATGGTAGTGATAAGCTGTGTGGAATGACACACTTTCAGAGATGCTCACATCTTGTCACTCTTATTTTGGCCTTATTCAAAATACTGGTTTGGGTTTTTTTTTTCATTTAATCTGGGAAAGTAATTGTGTTTCATTGACTTTAGTCAAGTTTCAGTGTGTAAATTTCACTGTTTTCAGTACTGAAATCACATTTTTTAAAAATTGCCCTGAACAGTTCTAAGAGGATAAAACTCTGCTCAATTTCTCATTAACAGTTTATCACATAGCCTACTGCCGATTTTATTTTATTTTTAAGTTAAATATATGTTTGTAATATAGTATCAGAATGTAACCCTTACATTCTGATAAAAGGTCGGATTAGAGATTGCTTTTTTGTAAAGGGCTAAATGTGTATTCTATTCTGGTTCAAAATATCTGTAGGAATGCACAGATATGAGTCCCCACTTAAGTTTATCAAATGGGAAATAACTATACAATAAGATTTCTAAAGAAAGAAAATCCAGGGAACTTAGTCAGCCCTTTAAGCCTTGATACATCTGTGTTCCCCTATTGGGTAATAGGAAGGGTTTAGCAGCTTACCACAGCTTCATCTTTTCTTATGAACACAGTGCAGAGGATAACAACAAGCCTGACAATTTTTTAAAAATTGATTTTAGACTTATTGGAGTGTGAATATTATGCTCATGAAGACTAAGATAATTGATTTGCTTGCATAAGAGATCATACGAGCAACAGAACTGTTGGGGGTTTGGAACATAAATGTGCTTTGTCTTTGGTCTGTGAGACTTCCTGGCAAGTAGGGTTACCACATTAAGAATAACTAAATAAACAGGCAGTCACCGTTGTCAAATTACTCTTCTATGTGCAGAGATAAAGTCACAATCATGTCTACAGCTTAGATGGCAAATGGCAGGTCTGTACTAAAACGAGGCTAAGCTGTGGAAACCAGTATTGATCTTCAGTTGCTAAGCACACTTAGACTTTTTCTGTTTGCTGAGATAGAGTCTATAGACAGATATTTCTGTCTTTTCATTTCTGTCTCCAGTTGCTCATTGCTTCTCATCAGCTGAAATTTGTCGTTTCAACGTGGATTTTTTTTTTTTTCTGGTGTGTTGCATGAGTTCTCCCTACTCTGTTCCAGACAAAATCAACCAAATTGACTCATGACACCTGCATAAAACAAAACTGAGATACTTTGGGGTTTTCTTTCCCACAATACTTGCATTAACTCCCTTACTTGAACAGTTGAGGAAAGGTAGGAAAGTGAGGACTTGAGGACTTTCAGTGGAGGAATGGTAACAGACAGGTGATAAAGGAGAAGTCAAAAGGTTTAATTAAAAAGCTCTTTTTAATGTAGAATACTGATCCAGGACTTGAGTAGAGGGGTGCTATTACAGTATCCCTATGTATGTGTGGAGTGCTTCTTTTAAAGAAGAAATATTTGATGGAAAATAGACTGGAATCACTGAGCTCACTTATTCTACTGCTTATTAATAAGAACACCTTATATTTGTACCTGGAAAAATAAAGCATTTTTAACTCATAAATTAACTATTGGCAAATTGATTTATAAGATGAGGGGTTTAGTATGTGTTAAAAAAAAATTACTCTGTGTTTGTTTCAGTAAATATGCAATATCTAGTAAATGCATAAAATAGATTTACACTATGTATGTAATAAATCATATTTCTTTTGTCTGCCTCTGGACAAAACATTGCTCAGATTTTCTGATTTTTGTTGTAATGGAATTATAGAAATGGTCTCTGTAATGTGTGCTTAAGTAGGCTTACCTAGGATTTTATTTAAAATATTTATATTTATTTCTTAACTACTTTGTCAGAACTTTATATTCAATTTGTCTTCGCTTTGTTTTATTATGACTCTCAAGTCAGGAAACCAAAATACTAAAGGTTTAAAAAGCATAAGCACATGAAAAGAAGGCAACATAAATGACTTTGCACAGTAGAGAGAATCACACCTTCTCTCCACTGAAAAGGTGACCTAATAGAGTTTTGGATTTGTGTGGCTTTTTTTTAGCTGTTGGGTGACTTTTTCAGTCTTGTGATTCAACACAAGAAAACTATATTCTTACTGTTTGCTCAAGAATCTCTTCCTGTTCCCTAAGATATAGGATATGCCTTCTTGTTGGGCTGTTCCAGTTTTACAGATGCTGTACACTGTACAGGCTTGTAGTCTACTGAGGACTAATTGTATGATCATTTTACACACCTTAACAGATATCATCCAAAGTACTGGTATATTGCCACTCACTCTGAGTAAGAGTGGATTTTTTTAGAAAAAATTCAGTCTAAATAATTTTGTAATGCTAATGACATCTGTACTCTATGGCTGTAGCTGGCACATAAATAAATGAGAAGGGATGAGCTCTGTCTATCTGAATAAAAGGTGAATAAAATAATTCTCCAGATTAAACGGCAGCCTGACCTATACAAAACCGTGACTGTTCTCAGATGTTGCAGAGTTATTCCCTTTCGGTATCAACAGTTACGAAAGTACTATTACAGTTGCTGTTGATGTACCTGTGAATTTAAGAAACATTGCTAAATCTGAAGATGTAAACATCTTTTACAAAAACAGTGCAGTCACTGCTGAGGAGTACTGAGTGTGCATACATAAATAAATTTACTCATCTGGGGGAGAAAAAAGCAGTTACAGTGGTCCTCAACTTCACTCCAATCAGTATTTCAGTGATTATAAAAAATACTTGTATTGGGCCATGTGGTTTTCAATGGATTTAATTATAACAGATGGTAATAATACTTGCCCTTAAGTTTACTTGAAGTCATTTGGAGACTGGAAGATAGAAAGCTGATTCTTTTGGGAAAAGAAGAAAATTGGCATCTAGTTTCAGGTGACACTGTTCATACAAATGAAGACTTGAGACCAAAACCAAAGAGATCTATCCTTTCTCATTTGGGGAAAGTATTATAGAATCGTAGAAAGGTTTGGGTTTGAAGGGACCTTATAGATCACCTAGTTCCAACCCCACTGTCATGGTCAAAGGACACCTTCTACTAGACCAGGTTGCTCAAATCCCCATTCAGCCTGGCCTTGAACACTTCCAGGGATGGACTTAAACAGTGTCTTAGTACAGTGAAGCCAGACAGACTGAGTCATCTAAAGAGTTTCTACAACAGAGTATTAACTGGAATAACTAGGGTATCCATTACCTCTCTTCATTGATATTCTTTTGGA